TTCTCTACCTATGGGTTTCTTTCAGTTCTTATATGTTTCAAAGAGCATCTGTTTGACATTGTTTTCTGAACACCACATGTTTACCACTTTAAAATCATTGTCCACATTTTGGGTTTACAGAGAGTGCCACTCTGACTTTACCACATTCCTGCCTTAAATTCAAAATAAAATGTTGGTGTCCTCTATGTAAATAAAATTTATTTGTATTATAATTCAAAATTAGTGTCTACCATCTCTGATAAACATGGCTGCCACTAAGGATGGAACTGATGCCACTGTCCTCCACACTATCTGCAGGGCCTCCTTAGTGTAGCATAAATGAACATCCTCCCCCACATACAGAGCTGTATAGCTCTAAAATCCCAAGAGAAGTCAGAGCTGGTGTTGTATGACTGCATGCCTGTAACTTCAGCTGCACTTGTAAAGCTTAGGCAGAAGGAACAGAAGTTCAAGGTCTGCCTGGGCCACATAGTGAGAAGCTGTCAAGTAAATAAAGACATACATACATACATGCATATATGAATACATAGAGACTATTGACTCTAAAAATTCTCAAAGACAGAATACAAAAGGAGACAGGGTACTAACAACTCAAATTCACTTTATGGTACACATGAACTCTAACTTAGAGATTAATATCCAGTTAGGCAAAAATATAAATGTAAATAATTTGGGGAACACTGTTTAATCTTAATTGCTTTGTAGCAAAATTTGCTAAAATATTTAGGTTTGAACTAAACTAAAACATATAGGTATTATATAGTTATTTCATTAAAAGATTCTTGAAATAATATTAAGCTCTATGTATAATCAATATAAAAATTATTAAACTCCTATTCAATAAGCATTTCTTAAACTGACCTTCTAGAAAGGCAAGGAATGTAATATCAAATCAAATTTCTAAGAATGCATTTATGTGAAAGGCAGGAATAATAATGTACAGACACTTTGCTTTCTAATCATCATCTTACTTAATTCAGTGGTAGAACCTGGAAGTACCTGATAGACAGCTAAAATGGCCATTAACCTGTCTCAATCAAATACCAGATGTCTGAAATGAATCTTCAGGATGTGTTGAATCAAAGCCAGGTTATAAATGAATTTTCTTTCAGATACGGGTAATGCCTTTCTGTAGCACAAAGAGAGATGTCCTTTGGAATGTCAGATATGGAAATGAATGACTTTGGTCTTGTAGTCTAGGTATTTGAGTCCAATGGACATAGTGACCTTTAAAAGTAAAGTTAATTCTGAAAATGACTTATATTCCAACAAATCATATACTTTCCTGAAGTTTCTGTTACTCACAAAATGTATGTTAAAAATTCAAGACATGTTAATAATAATGTTTCTATGTCAACATTTTTATTGTTAGACTGATGATGATTTTATACAAAGAGTTTTTTCTTATTTTCAACTCAATCTAAGATGAGCATAATAAGAGAATTTATTAATTTTCAAGAGAAAATTAAAACTTTAAAATTCACTTTTAATGATGTTGATGAGCATTATTAAAAATGCAATTGATTGCTACATTCTAGCAAAGTTCAGTGCACGTTTTTAAATAACAATAACAGAAGTTATTCTTTATTCTGTTATGTGTGAAGTTTACTGTGACTTATTCTTGCTTAAAAATGTTAGGATATATTATACTGCTATTATAGGTATGGGCCTTTTTTACATTAGCATAAATGAAATTAAAATTTTCTCACATTCATTCAGCTATGGTTTCATTCTGTATTATAGAGTCTTGAAATTTGAAAAAAATAAATAAATAAAAACTGTTGGTTCCAAGCAAAGCTTAAAGGTTAAAAGTGCTTCAATCATTATTGGTTCATCAGGACTATATTGAATAGTAAATAGTATCTGTCAAAAAAATAAAAAATAGACAGGGAAACTTGCAGTGTAACTCTGGAAGAGATAAAGGTGAAATAACTGGAGACAAGGATGTAAGGATGCTTAGATAAAGCATAGAATATTCAAGACAGTATAAGTAATTTAAAATAATTCAAGTTGATGGTATTCAAATTGTATAATGCACTTGGGCAGAAAGGCGATAACACACAGAGGTCCTTAACTGTCAGGCTGAAGGATTGGAGTTTATTTGGGAGGTGATGATATTTGTGGTTACACAGCCAAGGTGAGATGAAATATTCATGAATTTATTATGAAAATGAAAAAAGTTTACTGTTAAAAAGTGTTCCTGCTAACACAAGAAAACATTTTTGCTTTTGGAATGGTGTGGCTCAGAAAAAAAGGAAGAAATATGTCAATGTCTTTTGCAGAGTTTGAAATTCTTCCAGGGTAACATTCAACCTAAAAATGTAGTTGTTCCCTCTTTAATCAAGAGATGCATGTCAATAACTTTCAAAGATGTGGAACTGATAACTGGGAATATCTGAAGCACAGAGCAGATGGATCAGGAGAAACACAGGTACAAGGAATGAAACCAAGCATGCTGAGGAAGGTGACAGCTTCAGATACTTTGATGTTTAGATAACTCACTAATGATTTAAATTGAAAAACTGTCTTGATCAAGCTGATGTACAGTATATGGCATAGAAAAAATCAGTACTGGGAATGCAAAGAAAGAACAGATAGTGTTGAGCAAGCTGGGAAGAGATCATCTTATACTGAGACATTCTTGTAATTCCAGCAGTAAGAGAAGCAGGAAAATGACGTTTGAGGCTGTCCTGGGCTATATTGAAGGGCTTTGTCTAAAAATAGAGCAAAGGGCCTGAGCATGCTGATTTGAGATGCATGTCAAATGTTCACACAATAGAAGTGAGGTACTTGTTCTTAATCTCCAGAGTGAGATCCTGAGAAGGGAAAGGATGGGGAAAATCCTCAGTTTACCTATGGGTAAGACTGAGAATTCCTCAGCAATGTGCATCCACTGAGAAGAGAACAGAATACAAGAAGAACCCAAGTAGTTGCCCCATGTTCTGGAGTCTGAATGTTGAGTCTCAGGATTAGACAGATACAGGGAACTGGGAGAAAACTGGGCAAAGTGTTATAGAAGTCAAGAAAAGTGAGTGCTTATTGAAGGAAGAAAGCTAGTTCTACTGGACCAAATCGTGAACACAAATACTTAGATGGGCCAATGAAACCAGATGTAATGACGGGAAAGTGGTGAGATAGCATGTGTACGAAATTAGTGATTTGACTTTGGGATGTTCTCCTTATGGTTTTAAATACCATGAATTCTTTGATTTATTGAGTGATTCAAGTATTTCATGCAATATGTTTTGATCATATTCAGGCCACTCCCTGCTCCTCCCATACACACACACCAGAGCTCAGTTGTCGAGCTCCTCCTTTCTCTCCATTAATAAATCTGGGGCAGAATATTCTATCTTAAAAGTTAGCAGAAGACAATGCTCATTTATTGAAATGCACACTTTACTATTATTTTTGAGTTAGAATATTTTGGTGTGCTAATAATTATATGAGTTGTTTGTTTGACACAATTGTTTCTTCTGATAACTGATAATCTATAAATTAACTGACAATATATGATCATAAAGTAAGTACATTAGAAATAAAATTACAATTCGAAAATTAAACTTACTCTGCCCTGCAATTTCATATTTGAGAAAAGCTATTAAACTGTTTTGATATTAATTAAATTTTGGTGATAAATGTTCATGATAAAATTTTACACGTGTAGAAATTTATTTCCATTTCAGTTACTTAAGAAATTATCGAATTGTTTTGTCCTTATATCATAACATTTAAAAATATATGTATGACATACTATTTACTGAAGAACTAAAATAAAAATATAAAAACAGAATAAATTCAAAATTGTTAAATGCATATTTCTAATGAGTTAA